CGATGCTTGGGGGCACCGAAAAATAGAAGGCGTACGCGTGCCGGTGGTACGTCTACAAGTACGGCAATGGGAGCAACCTGCCGGACTTGAAGTTCAAGAACCTCCGCGACGTGGAAGACTTCGTCCACTCCGACCTTCCAGGGGCTAAGATCCACCGCAGGGCCCTGGAGAAGAGGAAGCGCCAGACGGAAGCATCGGTGCACTGTGCCGAGTGGAGGGCGAAGAGGAAGATGCTGCAGGAGTCGATGCTGCAGGAGTCGATGCTGCGGGAGTCGATGGGGCAGCCTCAAGAGCAGGAGCAGCAGCTGCACGCGAAGGAGATGTTGTCGCACGTATCGGGGGGTCCCGTGGATGGCGGGGGGAGGGACGCCGAAAAGAAGAAGAAGAAGAAGAAGAAAGCAAAAAGGAAGGACAAGGGCAAAGGGAAGGCTCGGGAGGAGGAGGAGCAGGAGGAGGAGGAGGTGACGGTTGTTGACCCCCCCGGGCAGGTGGCCAAGCAGGGGAGGGAGGAAGGTTCTCGGGGGCCTACTGAGGCGCCGGCAGCTGTGGCGCCGGCGGCGAAAGTCGACCACAAGGCTGAGGAAGCCCGCAGGCCAGACAAGCCGGCAGTGCCGGCGGTGACGGTGGACGCAGAGGAGGCTGCTGCCGGTGATGAGGGTCAGGAGAGCAAGAAGGCGAAGAAGAAGAAAAAGAAAAGGAAGCACGAGAGCATCGCCAGGAAGCTCCAGGATTGCCTCGCTCCGGGCCGCAAGGAGGAGGGCTACCACGCCTCCAAAGGCAAGCGCGGTCGGGGCGACGCCAAGCGAGAGGCAAAGCGCGAAGCCAGGCATGCCGCCGCGGAGGCCTCCAAGCCGGGCTCGCGCGGACACCCGATCGGCTCCAAGCACATCGCCGCGGGAGGGGCAGCATCATCCGGTGGGGAGGTAGCCGACAACGGCGGCACGAAGCGGGGGGCGCCCGGAGGAGATGGGTCGCGGAAGAGACGCAAGAAGGGACAGAGCGCCGAAGGGGAACTAGATGAGGCCGTGCAGAGGGAGATGGAGGAGATCGTCGGTGCCTACTCCAACAAGAAGGCCCGCAGGGAGCTCCTCGCGAAGCTCCGAGAGCAGGCGCAGCTTGAGGCCCGTGCCCGGCGGGGGGAGGGGACAGAAGAAGCGGGTTCGGACGGTGACGAACGGAAGGCGAGCGGCGGGGTGGACGGGAAGAGCGGCGACAGCGAGGAGGCTGACGACGTGACGGCCGCGGCGGCGGCAGCGGTGACGGCGGCGCGGAAAGCTCTTAGAGGCGAGCTGTCTCGCGCTGGGAAGCCGGCCAACAGTAGTGCCGCCGAGGTTTACCACGAACGCCACCGGGGGGATGAGGAGATGGACGAGAACGAAAAGAAGCAACATCGGAAGGGAAAGAAGGAGAAAAGAAGGGCCGCCGAGGAGGAAGAGCGCCGCCGTTCTTCTCCGCGCGTTGCCGAGCTAACCTTCCGGGAAGACTCCCACGGTGGAAATAGCGGCAGCGGCAGCGGCAGCGGCGGCGATAAAAAGAAAAGGAAGGCGGGTGCTCTCCCCTCTGCCGGAAGCAGCAAGAGGCACTCGGTCGGTAGGGGCAAGAGGGACGACGATAACCGCCGGCAGTCGAGCAGGGTGGCATCTGCTGTGGCGACGGCGGCGTTGAGCGGAAGGCTTTACCTGTAGACTTTTTTTCTTTCTACCGGTATTCATTTATTTTTTATTCGCGTCCGTTTTTACCATCATGTTGACTCGCGCGGTGTTTGGGGAATGGTTGTTTAGACAATAGTGAGCGGTGCAGGTTGAGCCTTCTCGTGTGAACTCACTGCGCCGAAAAGGAAGACAGCTATTTTTGTAAGGAACTGGCTGGAGGAGAAGGAGCAGGCGCATGTTGCTGTGGATGCCGTTGTACCACTCGGTGACTGCTGCTGGTTGCAGGCCAGCAGGTCGAGGGTGGGTTGTTCTAGTGTTTCCGGGTATATACCGTAGGTGACGCAAGATATTACACCCCTTGGGCCGATGTCCAAAGCTTGATTACTCCACAATGAATAGGAAAACGGTATGTTTTCGGAAATCTCTCGACGGGACGCCGCCTTTTGCCACTTTGGAGAAATCGAGCTTTGAAAACTGCTCCAGGCGGTGTGATGCCTTATGTTTCCTACGCTAGGCACGTGTGCACGGAGTGCGGCGGAACTTCATACGGCAGTTGTATACGTTCACATTTCGTCTCGTAGACTACAGCATGGAGTGTACAGCAAGTGTTTAGCGCAATGGGCTCCCTTGGAGAGGAGGGGTAGGGTTTCAATTAACACGTGTACAGTGTCTCGACTAAGTATTTATTGATTGTCGTTCCTTTGTCGAAGGCGTCAGGCAGGAAACACCTCGCGCCAGGCCGTGGCCATTGTCTGCCCCGCCTCTCTGCGATGCAGTGTTTTCGTTTGTGTTGTGTGCATGTTGGGGGCTGCTATTTTTATGGCCCCGTATGGCAGATGGTTCAATCACGGGACGTTGTTCCGACGGGGTTATTTTGTTATTTTGACTTTGCCGACTTTGTTTGCGTGCGAGATGAGATACTTGGTGTCCGGCTCACGTTGAAGACGATGCTGTTTTCGTCCCACCTGCAGCAGTGTTCTGGGCGCCAGTCTACACTCCATTCTTTGGCACGTGATGTAGCGCACCAACCAAATGGGGTAGCACGGGAATTGTTTTCATACGGCGGTGGTTGCCTTCAGGTCGCGTGAAGAGGTTGGCGGACCGTTCGATTGCTATTTTCACTCGCTTTCTCTCTCTCCTTGCTCTCTCTCCTGATGGTTCAAGAAGGCTTGTCTAAGCTAAAAGTTTTTTTTATCGCCGCGGATGAGTTACACAGTTCGTTCGTACGGGGATGTCATGTGTTCGTCGGTAGGGAGGGTGGATGGGGTTTTACATTGTACCTGGAACAGTAGGAACTTAGGCTTTATTTGCGGTGAATTCGGTCTAATATTTCGTTGCCGATCCACCCGAGTCCAAGTCTTGTGGTTGACCCAGGCAATGTAAAACTGTTTGACTTTTGAATGACACGGTGATAGCTGTAGTTGGTTGTCGTTCTACACGAAAATCGCTATGCAGTAGACTATGTATTGCTCGCGTTTATTTTGAAGGTTTGTTGTGCAACATGGAGGCAATGCACAAGGCGAAGTCATGGTGGTATGCCGGTATTTGGATCAACCGACGAGGGCACATTAACGGAAAGATGGTAACGAGAAGTCTGTGCTGCTCATTTCGTTATTGTGCGAACATGGACGAGGGAGCCGGATCACACGAAATACAGCTGGCTGGGTAACGAGAATCCGTGGATCACCCTTCGTTGACCACTCCATCACCTAGCCACAAAGTTGAAGCGGTGACTTGAGTGGTCCAAGGGACTACGGCCTCGAACAAAAACGTTTTGATCGTGTGCTACCCAATCAATCTGTTCCGTGAAAACACGTCGAAATTCCAGCTCCACTGTACAAGTAGTAGGTTGTGGGTTCGAATCTCTCCGGCCTTCGGGATGAAGAACAAGTCTCGCATGCACAGATCTCACTTCCGGGGGTCATTTCTGACGGGCATGGACACCCTCGTGGCATTGGTAGTCGAACAATCGAGCTTTGAAACTCGGGGCCTAGACAACACGATCAATCTATGCCTGGATCATATCTTGATATCTTGAATCTATGCCCATTGAAAACCAAGAACCAAGCCTCTATGCATAGTCTATGTTGCTCGGTTTAGACGACAGGCCACATCGTCACATCGTTGGGCTGTGTACTTGTACGCTTTTGATAAAAACAAATTCAGATGCTTCTTGCATCCAGCGGGTGCCACGCAACCTTGACATCCACAACTATACTTATACACGATGTTGATAGTATCTGCAGATATATGTGGATGTACAGATCAGCTGGTACCGAGAGCTCGGTACCGAGGCACCGGTGCGGTGAGCGATTGGGGATTGAGGATAGGCGGAAGAACTTTTTTTCGCGGCGCAACATGTGCCGGTTCGACAGGAGAACCAAGTCTGTTCATGTTGTCCAACTTGCCCTGTTGTCCTGTTGTCCTCCAGTTGCCTGAAAAGGAGGGGTTGCAATTTCTCCAAGGGGCCTCCGCACGGCAAATCTTCTTCGCAGATCATACCAAAAGTAGGAAGATTGTACGTACGCGCTTACCTTGTGCATATTGCAATAGCGCTTCCTCACGTAGGGCAGTGTCTTTCACCCTGCGTTTCTGTTGAAGGATACGAAGATCGGATTCAGTCGCGCACGGAGATAAAGAAGATACCATGTCATCGTCGAAAGCGGACGAGGTCGTCTGGCAGGACCGGGAGGTCAGGTTCGACTCCACGCCGGCTGAGATGCAGTGCCGGAAGGGAGAGGTGGTTATCGACTCAATCAACTCCGTGGAGGACACCAAAGGCAACAACGGGGAAAGAGGTGTGTGTGGATGCAATCTGCGGTTGTTTATGTAGGTCTAGACAGATGATGCCTGCGAACCACCGCAAGGTCGGTGCGCATGGCTTGATCTGCGGCGACGTAACACATTCCGGACAACAGCATGGGGCACTCTTCATTCTTGGAAAATTGGGCAACTGCATCATTTGGTTTTTGTTGTGTTTCTTCTTCGTCGCATCTGTTGTACTCTGGGCGCCACTCATTTCAACACCATTTTTCGGTAGCCATGAATGTATGCACCAGCCCGGGAAAGGTCTGGAATTCTTCTCCACCGATCCCCGTGCAGTGCGTGTCTTCAACCGTAAATGCGATAACGGTTCATTGGCAGCTCCTTCCCTCTTTCTTGATTACTTACGACTAAGCGCTTTCCACTGATATAGGTTGAAAATCTCACCATGAACACGCTCGCACGTAGTATTCACGACCGTACGCATGTACTGTACCATAAACCAACAATCGGGGAGGGTGACTCGCTGTGATGTTCGGGGATAACTACGATAAAGGTGCGAGATGGAACAGCAAATAATACTGTACCTGCCATTACATCGTTTCATCACGGCGGTCCTTGTCCATCTCGTATCCGACAGGTTCGCTCGTGGTGACGAACTTGCGAGTGTTGTGGATCTCGCACAAGATTTCCCGCGTCAACCTCAGTGAGTCCCCCGTCCCGTCAGGACTATGGTGGTGCTGCCGAAATCTTTCCAGTATCAAAAAAGTTACACCCGGAACGGCCACGCTTGGCAAACGTACAAGACTCAGCCTGCTTGCTAGGTAGCTCTGTTCAGCATCCAGAATGAAGCTGCGTGGAGCACGTCATAGAGTACATGAGGGTGTCGTTGCACAACAACAATACCAGAATGTTGTCGTTCACACGGTACGGAACGCGTTCAATACTCTCGTTCAGTTGATGGATGTGATATTTCCGTTGCACAGGTATTGGGTTCAACACCGTCTTGAACATGTCCATCCGAAAAGCAAGGTCTCGCCTGAGGGGTATCACCCAGGCCCTCTGTATCACGTCCAAGTACAACCAATCCCGCTTCGAGTTCGTTTTCACTAGCCTCGTCAAGAACTCGCCCCGGCTCTTCACCACCGTGCAAGCCGTACTCAGGTGAGGCCTTCTCAAGTATTTCAATACGCAGCTTTCTAGAAGAGCCAGCTGCAGAATACCTTGTCGACGTGGCAACCCTCCCCCCCACAGGGTGATTTTCAGCCGGACGTGCCTTTCACAGCGCCAAGAGCACCGAGGGCGAGGTATTGATCTCTCGTGAGGAATTGGAACACGCCCAGGCCGGCATGTTTACTCAAGTTCAATTATCGTGTCCCTCCTTGGATTTGCTAGCTTTCGATCTTTTTGTTGATGTTGTTGATATTTTGACTGTCTTACAGGGCGTACGAGACATCGACACTCTACCGCGATTTGAAGCTTCGAGGGTCGATTATAAAGGGCAAGCAGCTTGTCACGCTCCCGCTGGAACAGATATACAGCAAGGTATGCCGGTAGAGTTGATTAAGGAAGCTTAAAAGCCGGCACCAAGGATGTTTCGGGTTTAGAATTTCGACTCAATATTTCGCACGCACGTTGGTTACCATCAGCAAGCGTTTGACTCGTACAGCTGGACTCTACTGCGAACGATGCTTGAGATCGCATAATTTGGCTTAAATTGATTGAACCATAGTCAAGTTACTTAATTCGTGCGTTGGCTTCAGACAGGGACCATGATATGCTAACTGCCCCTATGAGACGAGGGGGGGGGCACCGGCAGAAGTAGTATTTAGACGTGTCTTTGAGTTGTTAACTACATGCTCGCTTTTTCCTACAGCGGCCTTTCTTTCCCATGAGCTCTCTCCTTTGGCCGAGTCAGTCACACAAGGATACAGAGGAGACACAGGAGAGACTCCCCTTCCCCGATCGATCCCGAACGACTGCCCACTTTTTCCCTTGAGGCATACCACGAGGACGACAACTGGAGTTAGGGATAGGGTTGTTAGCCAACCATTTCGCCCCTTCTTCGCCTAAAACCAAGGACAGTCGTCGCCTCATACATCAATCTGTACAGTAAGTGTGCTCGGAAACATGCCTAATTTGTTCTGCCTTGACTCGCGCATCCTCCTAGGTTTTTGGAGCAAACCTACGGCATCAATCTTTAATACCTGTGCCACCTGATGACTGGTCGGAGAAGTTTGGGGTGTTAACCAGGCATCAATGTCCGTGCTGTAAGCGTTCAGGCGCGAAATAAACACGCATCAGGTACCGGGTAGGGCATGTATGTTGTGTTTCAGGTGCTTCGCTGGCGAACGCCTCGGCGTTGTGCTGTTTGTCTCTTGACGGTAGATCGAAGGTGTGTGGAACCTCTCCTCGGACCAGGGCAACCTCGGCTGCTTCTTCCTGACCAACGTTCGCCTAGTGTGGCACGCCAACCTCGCCCAGAACTTCAACGTCTCCATTCCTTACATGCAGATGGTGAGAGTAAGGAGGAATGCATGTGTTGTGTGTGTGTTGTGTGTGTGTGTGAGAGAGAGAGAGAGAGAGAGAGAGAGAGAGAGAGAATTGAGGTGTGGCCGTCACCTTCGCAAACAACGGTATTCGGTCATTAAAAGTCACGACGAAACACGGCGGTTTGGTTTGTTACTAGGAAAACCCAGCCAGATGAGAGAGCGGAGCTCGCGGCCTGAGGAAAGCGAGCCAATAGCATCGTCGGGTTGGTTGTTCCAGTCTTGGGGCAAGTTGTTTCTTCTCACCTACTTCTATTCACTTATTCCGCGTGCTCGTGCCAAGGAGACCACGATGTCAATGTCAGTAGCTGTGCGCCGAACAGGAGAGCACTATACACGAATGAGTGATACCGACACCACCGGGTACCACTTCGACATGCTTGTTGCCTCCGCGTTATCGAACAAAAACGACTCGCAGAAGACGATCCGGGTTCGAGAATCAAAGTTCGGCCCCGCTTTGGTAGTGGAGACTAGCGTCCACTCGGGGGGCTATATTTTAGGTGAGCGGGTGAGAGAGGGGAAGCACCGTCAATAGCGAACATGCATCGCATGCCTGGAAAGCCTATGAAACCTGTGCCACTGTCCCACGATTTTTTTTTATCAACGGCCATTTCACGATGGATGTTGGTTTGCCAAATATGGTTGCCATTGGACGGGCGGTGATTGGTTTCCATTCGCCTCTTGTTATTGAGGCTGAGCTCCGACTATTGGTACAACTTGTGACAACGCTACCATCAAACGATTTCCATGAGATATGTTCGTGTAGATGCCACCTCACCGTGGAGCAAACTCATCCCGAAACCTAGAGCACTCGTATTTGTCCGCGCCTACTACATAGCAAATGACACGGATATCGAAGCGGCAGTGTAATGTGGGCCCACAAATGTGACCCCCCCTACCGTAGCATCACTCTTTGTATGGATGTCAGGGCACGTTGACGTATCCATGGTGGGCAAAATGCCAACTTTGATACCACGCACACCGCTATCCACATGTACGGTAACCATATAGTTCCCCAACACGGCTTGCTTGAGTGCAAGTGGCGTGGCTTTTAGACCGAACGAACCCAAAACGCAGACCCGATAGGCAGCGTACCTCATTTCTAGTCAACCAAGTTCAGACAGACGTCCATTCCGGTCAATCAAGAATGCTATCGCTTGATTTCAGGGTTCCGATTGGATCCGGCGGATCAGCTTGAACGGGTGCACCAGGAGTTGTCCTCGTTACACCAGGTGCACGCGGCCGATCCTATTTTGGGGGTCGACTTCGAAGAGGAGGACAGCGTGAGTTTGGGAGGGAGGCTTCTGTACTGAGCACTGATCAAACTTGACGGAGGAACGAAAGCAATGGACAACGGTAACTATTGTTGTTGTCGTTGTTGTCGTTGTTGTTGTGTTGTTGTTGTTGTTGTTGTTGTTGTTGTTGTTGTTGTTGTTGTTGTTGTCGTCGTCGTCGTTGTCGTCGTCGTCGTCATCGTCGTCATCGTCGCCATCGCCGTTTTTGTTGCTTATGCTTATGCGTGTACTTCCACCTCTCGGTCCAGCTCCCAACCCACAAAAAAGGGGGAGCGGATAAACACAAACATACATATTTCGACAGTAGGTCTCGTAGTAAAATATATTGTAAAAAATTTCACTTTCGAGAGAGGCACTTTCGAGCTCGCTGTCAAACCAACGCAACACAGTTCGTGTCTGTTGTACAATGGCAGCCTCCAGCGATGGAGTCGCGAACGGTGGCTGTGACGGACGATGACGTGGAGGTGCTCGACACGGACGAAGCAGGGACGGACGCGTTCGCGGCTTATTTCGCAGAGGCGAACAAGGCCTGCGATAGAGAGGTAGATTACAGCAACAGCGATGTTCACTTGGACTTCGGATCAAGAGCGGTTCGACAAACTTCAATAAAATAGTATGCACAGGAAGTGGATCATGTTTCTCGGCAAACATGTTTCTCCACATGTACGTGTAGATTTAGTCTACGGTAGTCTAGGTAATGTACGAGTGAGTGCTTCCTTCTCCAACAAAGGCAACAAAACTCTCCTCCAGACTACAGTACTACAGCCCAACGTTGACTCTGTCAGCTCGTTCGCGTCCGCTTGTCTTCTCCTCGTTCGTGTCCTTCTTCGCAGGTTGTGTTCGACGCGGAGCTGGGTCTGGCGGTGGAGAGCCTGCCAGGAGGGGCCTCCACACAAAGCTTATGGAAACTAGTCTGATCTAGGTTTACGTGATTGTTGTTCGCTGTTTGGGACAGCGTTGATGATGAGAAAAACATACTTCACATCTTTTCTACGCGTCGTGAGTCTTGTTGGCGGATTGGTCTGCATGATCCTTCCCAAGTTGCTCATGATCTGGGGGACTTCTCGGCTGCTCCTGTCTTGGCGCCGTACCAAATCCGGCCTACAGTAGACACAGTAGCCGACATATGTTCCATCCTCTCTGCGGCGCGCTTATGGAATGAAGATGCTGAGGGGTGGTGTACATTTGGCGGAACAAACTACCGTAGTATTCGCAAGTTGCTGCAGGTGCTCCTACGAGAAAGTTGTAGGCGTATGTAAGATGGGCACGGCAAACAGACATGGTGATGGAATGAATCGTTCGACGTACAATTCGAATCATCCCCCCGACCTTCTCTCGTCTGGGAATGCAGGAACGAACGAACACACGAAGGCCTTGTGGGCGAACGTTGGGTGTGCACGTTTCGACGTTCATTTCGCGATGCAGTCGACAGGAGCAGTCCGATCACAAGTAGACTGACTGGTGCAGGATGGCTTCCTACTATGCATAGAGAGGGCTGCTGTGTTGATGCGTCATTATTGAGTCGGAGGGCGACGACCTCGCTTCTAGTCGCGAGACCCAGACATATGCCCCACCGTCCGGCAGTCATTGCACTGCCCTCGTGAACGAACGGAACACGTCTGTCGTTGTATGCCACTCGGTGAAGTGAAGGACGCAAGTGTGCACGTGATCCCAGTGCTCAAAGGTCATTCTTGACCCGCTATTTAACCGCACGCCCAGAGACTACTCTGACTACCAAGAAGGTCAGGAGCAGCTAAACACCCCAAATAGCAAGTGCAATAGGAGTGAGGGTGACGGTGCTTGGCTCGCTTGTTCAAGACCCCCCTATTGATCGCCGTCTGAGATGGCGAGATGGAGATGGGGATATCGATCGCAACCGAGGCATCAACCAGATCAGCCCTCCGCTGTCGGCGTGTTGATACATTACAGCCCTCGAGAAAATGTGCCTGAAATTGCATAAAACTCAACGTCAAACGTGTTCACCTAACGACACTTGACTGTTTGCTTTTAACTTTGGCTCCCCGGCGTCCTCCCGCTCCCCCTTTCCTGCCCTAACACCATACAAGATCCGGATTGTCGGGTTTTCCCTCTTTACCGCGCACCGCCTTCTCACTTGAGAAACGAGAAACGTTGAAGTAAAGGACCGATCAGAAGATCAGAAACAAAAGAGGCGGGAGCAGGATTCAGTACCACCGCAGGAGACTCCCCCGTACATGCGCGAACGAATACCTGACAGAAACAAGGGTTCTCCTCGCAAGCCGATAAACTCTTCCCTCCCTCCGATCCACAAAAACTTGACCAAGAAACATGCCCGGTCTCGCCCATTTCTTAACTTGCTCAAGCGTTCTTCGGCAAGAAAATCTAGGAGCTACGGTACAGCCTCGGCCTCATCATTCACCTCGCCATTGCGAAGCCCGAGCGCGACCACTACAGCTGCAGCAGCTGTTGACGACCCCCCCCCCCCCCCCCCCCCCCCCCCCCCCCCCCCCCCCCCCCCCCCCCCCCCCCCCCCCCCCCCCCCCCCCCCCCC